AACCGGGGTCGTCGTCGCCGTCGTCGTCGTCGTCGTCGTCTCTTATAACAACAACGCAGTAAAGCACAGCACTTGGACTTGTGGGTGTGGGAGTGGGAGTCGGAGTGGGAGTGGGTCTGAGGCCCGAGCGAAAGAGACAGGAGACTAAGGCGCTGATGGGCAAATGGAGTACGAGAAGAAGAAGGAGCATAAAGAACACAATTACGCGAACGTGGTATTCCAAGGAGCATTGAAACACACATTTCGAGCTCCTTCTGTTGTTTTTTTTTCGTACTCTCCGTCTCTCCCTCCCTCCCTCTCCCTCTCTCTTTCTTTCTCTCTCTCTCTCTCTGTCTCTCTTTCAATTTTTTCTTCATATTTTGCTGGTCTAAGATATTTTTTATTATGTTAATTTCCGCACTTTTTTGAATCATTTCATATTTTGGGAGAAACCACCCTAACCACCAAGCTATTTTACTGCGAGAACGTTAATGGGGTTCTGCAAAAATACTTTTCTGGCATCTTTGCCTTGTTTGCAGCCAACGTTGAAAATCGCAAAACTGTATAATGTCCTACCTAGCGAATAAAAAAGACAATCATTAAATAAGAGAATGCTGAGTTAAAAACAAATTTTTATCTTGCATAGTATTTGGAAAATAAGGAGAATGACTTGGATTTTTTGGTGGAGCATGCCTTAATTGGGTTCCCGCATACATACATACATACATGCAAATGTTCATATGTATGCCGCAGTGTAAAAGGAGGGCGCTCTAATGTGACCCAAGCCCAAGCCCAAGCCATCACCACCATTCACCCATTCAGCTCATTTACATTTGTATGCACACATGCAGACATATATTCGACCTATTCACCCCCACTGCACAGAGGCAGACTCACTCAAACACACAGACACGGCCTGTAAATGTTACATGAGCAGTCAGAATATATGAGCACACATATATGTGTGTACATGTACATACATATGTACATTCAGCTAGAACATACACCCATCTTCTAAAAGGAGGAATTCTCGTTTGTTGTTTATTGTGATTCCGAAGTCTTTTTTATTTTAATTTCGTTGCTCGTCATTATCGATTTTTGCGTCTTTCCTTTGAAATTTGACTTTATCCTTGGCGAGAAGCAATCGCTTGGGCGAAGGCGGAACTGAGGTCCTGATTGAGGGATGATGGTTGTTTAGATACCCACATTGTCCAAATGCATGAGCGGCAAGGAGAGCCACAGAACAGCAATATAAGTAGCAATTAGTAGGGGCCAAGTATGTACCCATCCGCTGCTAGTGCTCATGCTTTGCTTTGCTTTGCTTTGCTTTGCTTTATTTACCCATTTACCAGGCAAAACTTTCATTTAATTGGTTCTCATGCGAGCGCCCACGAATTACGTCCATTTATATATGTACGTATGTGTGTATGGTATGTACATACATATACGAATTCCAGTGCCAGTACCTTACATATGTACATAACTCAAAGCTCGAGTGTTCTTGTGTGTGCAACGGGTGGCGGCGAGACAAAACACGAGCAAGTAGCAAGTGCTAGGGAGCGAGCGAGAGCGTGCGAGAGAGGCGGTTTGGGTATGGGTATAACATTGGTGCTTAATTGGTTGGCCAGTAATTAACATTTTGCCAAGCCGAATGCTCATTCTCTCCTCGGCGGGGAGGGTGGGGGTGGTGCGCTGCTGGCCGCAACGAATCACGTATGCCGACTCCCAGCCAGTGACAACGCGAATGGGGTGTGATTCGAAAGGCGTCAATTAACTCTACTCTATGAACCACCCACCCAGCCATCCAGCCACCCACACATGACGAAAACACTAACAGCGAACCCAATACACCCACAAAGGATTGGGACGGCAGGTGCGGAAGAGTGTTGGGGAGTCGACAAAGAGGAGAGAAACTGCGAGAAGAAACGAAGCGGAGAGGAGCGGAGAGCAGAGAAGATGAGGACTTTAGCAAGCGGCAAGCGACAACCGACCAATCAAGTCGCACTTTAGCGACAACCGCGCACAGTTGCTTCACTCTTCTTTTGGTTCCGTTTCCGCTGTTCCTGACCCGTTTTCCCACTGTTTCTGCGCCGGCATCATCTGAGACTTAACAGCAAAAGAGCGGGGCATTAAGCTCTCTGTGCGTTTCGCTGCCGTCATCATTGCCTTTGTCTGTGCTTAATTACTAGGCTGATTTGGGCTTCTCAACTCAGTGTTGCTCTGCTCCGCTTTGTTCTTCTCCGTTCGGCTTATTTCGGCAGAGCTCGGTTCGTTCGTTGAACTAACTTCAGCCTCCAACCGAAAGCGACAAGTAACCCCTTCTCCCTCGCTCGGCCAGCTCCATCGTCATTGGCTAATTAGATGGCTGCTTGTAATTAACAGGGCCCAAAGGGTGTTTTGCTACCACTTGCCGCTACGTTTTAATTGGCGCGCTTAGCTTGGCTGTGTCTCGGTTCTCGGTTCTCATATGAAACCCATTTTAAAGCACATTTAATCCAGGCTAGATTTGACAATATCAAAAATATAATACTTATTTGTTTGAAAACTCTGATTTGTTTCTCAGAAAACAACAGGATTTTTACTTATTTTACCCTTGCAGAGGGTTTAATAATTTCAGTCAGAAGTTTGCAACGAATTGAAGGAGACATTTCCAACCCTATAAAGTATAAAGGGATCGGACAACTATATCACCATAGGAAAAAGTGAAATAAAATTTAACAAACTATAACCTTGCTGTTTTCAATTGGTTTAAATGTACTTTGGTATAAAAGAATAATTTACTATTTCTGAAATACGGTTTTAATTATATAATTATAATTATAATTTTAGTTAAATATAATTGAACAACGATATCATATAGCCGCAATAAAAATAATTGAATAATTGGAAAATTATGAAGGCTTTACTGCTATATAGGCATAAAAATCGGAATATAGTTGTTATAAAGAATATTTAGTTTTTGCAACAGCTACAAAAGTATATAAACTTCGTCTTTCCAAAATTTACATCCTTATTTTGTTATAGGTAATATTGATTTACTGCCTGCAAAAGAAAGTGGGTTTGAGAAAGTTCATGCAGATAGCGTTTAAACTGAGCGACTAGAATAAAGAACTTGGGCTAGGGGTCTAGGTCATTTCCCAATTTAAAAGTTAATAAACTAAAATTTATTTATAGAAAATAAAAAGTTTACAGCATATTTTTGTTTTTGTTGTGAAATATTTAAACAGAAAGTCGAAAAATGAATTTTTTCATTCATGGTACCTTTAAGTGCTGGCTTTGTATTTGCTTTAGTTTTTTGTATGTTCGTTGTAATGATTGCAATGTTCGTTTAGGATCCTTAAACCAATCATAAAATAGTACAAAAATACAAAAAAAGATAAATCATGCATCGATTAATGATACATTTTTAAGTATTTTTCTCCTGCTATTTTGTTGCTGTTTTTTTCAGTACAGCTAATACAGTCCTCGCAAAAAGCTGAAAATGTATATCTAAACCAAGTTAATTGTGCTTTATTTAAATAAAAAAGAAAAAACGTTGTTTTCATCCAAACAACATTAAATCTACTTGAGTTTGTCGCGTTTTCCATAGTAAGCTAGTCAGATTTCAAGAAATATTTATAATATTTTCAATATTGCTTACTTTTTACGCAGATAAGTAAAAATTATAGCATAGAAGCATCCCGACGTTATTTAGAAAAACTTTAACCGATCCCGCCAAGCGTATGAAGTACCTTAAAAAAGCTGCAATGAGAATGTCAATGAGACCCGATAATCCTATTATCTATTGTTTTGATTATTAAACATGCGTTCCTTAATACTGTAAATACTAATACATTTATAAGTGTAAAATAAATACTTTTGTTTTTTTTAAATAAAATTTTTTTGATATATCTTGAAAAATTAAACAAATAATATTAATATTTCAAACTGAAGTCTAAACATTGAAAACTACATTATACCCAAAGAAATCTGAAGAGTTTGAGGTGACGTGCAAATGAAACTAGTTTGGGGATCACTCCCTAGGAAGTGCTAGTTTGATGAAAGTTATCAAAGGAGTTGTTTTACAAAGACTTATAACCAACAATGACCTCGAGTTTTTCATTTCGATTTATGTATACGAAATACAAGGTAAATAAAACCAACACAACATTATTTTACTATGGTTTAACGGAGTCAAAAATTAGTTCTTTTTTTCTAGTCGTTCTCGACGCGGTGTTTTCAATTAATAACTCGAAAACGACAAGTACTCAAAGCTAGTTTTTTGTTTAGTTACAGTAGTGTTTTTAAAATATTTTATTTGTGTAAAAAAAAAGTGTTAAATGACAGTTTTTGTCTTTTTTTCGTTTAAAGTCGTACTAATGCCGCGTTCTCGATCCTGGAAGTTTCCATATTAATAATAGGGATTAATGGGGCGCACCATATCTCAAATTTTTAAATATACAAAATTTGTATTTATGCTTATAACTTATAAAATAATTGTTCAATTTAGAACATTGGTCTCGATAGATATAACCGAAAATAGCATTCACCGCCCAATGACAGACCTCTGTTTACCTTCAAAAGGACTTTTTCTCATATAAACTTTTGATAATACCATATAAAATTTAATATTAACAAAGTTTAAAAAAATTAAAGACTTTTGGTCGGACAATAAACTTAATACTGTTCTTTTAGATAATTTCAAATGAAGAACAAACCATAAGATTCTCAGTTGCAAAATCAGTTTGCTTATAAGCATAAAAAATGATTATTTCTTAATATCTTATGTATTTTGATATATAGTCAAATAAAATATACTCGAGATAGGTAAAGCCGTTCATCGGGCCGGTTGAGTACGGAACATCACTGCATTAAGATGTAATTAAGTCGGAAATTGAACTTTCCAAGTGTAATTAATACTGTTCAATAATTGTATCGGCGACATAAGCTTCTCTGTTCGATGCCCCAGTAAAAATGTTAACTCATCTCAAAAACTACATTTAAGAGCAAAAAAACAAAAAACCCTCCAATAAAAGACTTACCTGAAGTCTGAAAGCAGTCGAATCCATTATCAGCTGACTGGAGCGTTGGACCTTCAGGAGAAGGCATTTAGAGTTTTGCCAGTTTCAGTTGAACGTATTTGTATTTGCGCATAGATAATTGGACTTCGAGTTTGTAGGGTTATTAGCTAGTTCAGTTGTTAATTATTTTAAGTTAGCGGCGATAGTTTTGTACTATGTTATGATTTATCCTTAGGCTTAAATATTATAGGAACTTTTGAATCGAGCGCTTGTAGACGTGGGCGAGTTAATTCATTGGCCTGCGGCACCTAGAGGATAGTTTAGTAGATAATACTGTTACCAACTCATCACAACGCTTCGACAACGCTTCCGTGCACGAAAAAAAACTATTTTTGTCTTAGATTAAAAACATAATGAGTATGGATTCAAAATAAAATAACCCAAATAACGCGCAGTGTGAAACAATTTCTATAAATTTCGTCTTTCAACTCAATTTCCATTCGATATTACTGTTTTGTTACGAAAATGGTAAACGTTTTAATAACCCGTAATTTAACTCTGTTTCCGAACCCCGTACTCGAAATACGGTTTTCAAGCCACACCTTGTCCTTAAGGACCTGCGGTTTTGATTTTGCACTTGTGTGAAGCCATCAAGGACAGGTGGCAAATAGGCATGGGCAGGATATCGAGGCAGGATGTTAGGGAGAGTTAGGGAAGTTAGGGAGAGAACAGCAGGCAACAGCAGGGCTCGAAAGAGCCAAATTAAGTGCAAACGCTGGTGTACGAATGAGTGTATATGTATATACTCGTGTGTGCGGGTGTAATTGCCGTGACCAGTGACAGGTGACAGGCGAAAGGCGAAAGGTGATCGACCTACCGCTGCAGCTACCCGTTGAGGGCACAAGAGTTGGCGCGTTTTCGGCAAGGAGTCGGTCGGAAATGCGTTAATTTCGCTTTTTGTGTCACTTCGCATCGCGCATATGAAAATGTATGCATTTACGCAGATCAAAGGATTATCGACGACTTGTCAAGGCTTCTTACTCGCACAAGCACACGCACATGCACACATCTATTCGCATACGGTTAGACGAATGACTGCAAAATAATTTAAATAGCTCACACTTATGTGTACATCCATATATGAAAGTACACAACGACAATGTATGCACATCTGCATGTGCACATACTTCTGCCGCCGAGTCGATGAGTGTACGTGCATGTGTATGTGAGAGCGAAACGAGCGAGTTAGTCGAATGATGTGTGTGGGTGAGTGCAGGGGTGCAGGGGTGTACGGTTATGGTTGGGTGTATACGCGCGCGTTACGCCCAGCGATTTAATTTGCCAACTTTTTGCGTTTTTGCATTTTTAATATCAACACTTTTACTCCTAGTTGGCTGCTTATGGCGCAAGCGAGACAGTTGTCTCTTTTTTATACACACACGCACAGTTACAAGCACAGTCACAAGTGGAAACTTCTGGTCCCGTACTTTCCGACTTTCAATGCTGCTCCTTCCCCCCATCCCGTCCCGTACCGTCCCGTCCCGTCCCGTACCGTCCTTTCCAGTACAAAGCGCCAGACAGAGAGGGGAGAGCCGCCGCGACAGGGACAGAAATAGAGACAGAGCCTGAGAGAGAGGAGGCATTCATTTTTGCATACACTCTCGTGGACCACGTGCTCATTAAATCGTTGAAAGCAATTCATAGAGAACATCCAACAGCAGTCTAGCACCCTTTTCCTGCGGCGCGCTCTTTTTAGCTCCTTTCCTTTCCGTTCCGTTCCTTTCCTTCGATTTACTTTCGCGCACCCTCCTTCCGCTCGGCACGGATCGGATGTACTCGGCTCTGTTCGGCTCGGCCCGTAATGCAATTAAAAATAAAAAACTTTCCCCGGACGGATTCCCCGTTTTGTTTGCTTCGATATTTTTTTAATACGATACGACGATTCGCCATCTCTTTTCAGTAATATTGAAATGAAATTCTGCTCTTGTCGTTGTCGTTGGCGTTGTTCTTGTTGTTCTTGTTGTTGTTATTGTTGCTATTGTTGCTATGCACACATACACAAGTACATAAAGATAAGGGTGAGTGTATTGTTTTGTGCACAGGACTGCAATGTTACCATGCACCTATACATTAAATTTTTGATTTGATTAGATTTCGCCATGTAGCAGCAACGAACTGGATGCATCTCATGCAGACAATCGCTGAATTGCAATCTCGCCTCGCAATTCACTGGTTGCTGGTTACTGTTTACAGTTTACCACTTCTTCTCTCTTCATTTGCAGATCCATAATTTATCAACTTTTTCTGTGAACATCACTGTTCGGCGCACAACACAACCCAAAGCGTGTGAATGCTAAGTGGCATAGAATCAGGTAGACAGACGCGCGATAACGACGCGCACCCACTTCGAAAGCAGATATCACTATCCTGGCGATTGGGATTGGGTATTCATAGGTGGCAAGACACATTCTACATCTCTTTTCGAGATCACAGTGGGCATTGGGTTTCACTTTTTGGTTGTTTCTTATTGCACTTTTTGACGCTTTACAAAGCACAATGAACCAGCGGATAGTCACAGTCACAGTCACAGTCACATCCACAATCACTGTCACAGTCACAGTCACGCCAACGGCATCGCCATGGAGATCTACATCGAAACCGCATCTCATCCGAGCACTTAGAACTCAGAACTCACCATCCGACCCGCATCTGACTCATTCAACGTTTTTTTTCGACTGAGCCGAGGCAGGCTTACTTGTTTACTAGCCTAACGTCACGCGCGCTCTCCGCCGCTCTTTGCCGCTCTCCGGCGCTCTCGTCTCGGGCTCAGCCGTTCTGAAAGCCGAACCGAACCCCAAACCAAACGAAACGAAATCGAATCATGCGTATAAGGCAAGATTGGAGAGAGACTGAGAGTCTCTTCGCTGTGAGATTTCCGTAATGGGGTAATTATTGCCACGCAGAGTGGTAATTACAAAAGAGCGAGACGGGAGCTGAGGTGATAAAACAATGTACCAATGTGCTGTGCCTTATGCTCTCACAGCGACCCTCTCTTTTCCTCCTTAATTTCTGTCTGTCCCCGGGTGTGTGTGTGTGTGTGTATGTTTGTATGTTTGTATGGCTGCGTACCTTTGTTTTGTGTGGGTGCAGCTTGAGCAATCATCTTTCATTATTTTTGTATTACTGCCGACGGATGTTAAAGGTTCCCAAACCGGCATGTTCAACATCCCATTGTCTGCAGAATGATCGGAAATATTTTCAGTATTAAACTGGAATAAGAGAATCACAGCGACTTCTTTTAAAGAAAAACTATATATTTCACAGCTAAGTGGACACAGAATAATATGAAATATGCAAGATATTGTTTATTTCTTGAACCACTATTCTAAATTGTCATGAACATAATATTAAGTTATAAAATAAAACTGGAAATGATGATAGCAGCTCACTTTTTATGTACATAAAAGGCAACCCCTTTAATTTTTCCTTTTTCTGTTTCAGTCTCAACTTGAACGAGGGTTTAACAAATTTTCAGTTTTTGATTGTTTTGCAACATTTGCGTTGTTTTGACAATAAAAAACGTTTGATTTTTTGTGTGTTTCTGGATATTGTTGAAGCTCGGAAACATAGCACTTGTTTCTTGCTTTGAAATATGTACTTGTTGCAAACATTTCAAAGATTTATTGCCATTTCAACCCGAATCAATGCCCAGATGTTCTGGCTGTTACACTTTATACCATCGAAGAACTAATCAGCTTAAAATCTATTTGTTACGTGGCAATTCGCACCCAAAAATATGACCCTTTTCTTTATTGAATTAAGTCGTTTTCGCTTACCGATGCAAACATTTTTTTAAATACAACTTTCAATAATAATTTTATGAACCGACAGATAATGCTTTAAGTTATATATATATATATATTCCTGGTCAGAGTCAATAGCCGTGCCGATCTAGCCATGTTCGTCTGTCCGTATAAAACCAGAGATTCGCAGCGCAGATACCCTTTTTTTGGGCAAAAAATGTTTACAAGGCCCTATATCGTTACACTCAAAAATGTTCAGAATCGTACCATTATTTTGGAAGTCACTGCATGCTTGAAAAACCGAGTTCGTGTATGAAGAGCGGCGATCCGCACTCATACTGTGCCATGCTTGCACTTCAGTTGTCTGAGACATTTTCACGGCGAAACTTGTCAATGTATGTGTGCCGACAGCGGGTAATTACTGTTCGTGTCGCGCTCTGTCGGCCCTCTGCCGCTGATCTGCACTAGAAAGGACTGCTATTAGCGCGTGTTCGGGGTGCTGCTCGCTCTTAAGTTGTATTGTTGACAATGTAGTGCGCTAACTAAAACCCAATTGTTTTTAGTGAAATGTTTTTTTTGAAATTTATTAGAGAATTAATAAAATGGTTGGGGAACTCGACTTTGGGGTCTCTTCTTTTTATTCACAACACCTTATAAAAAATACAAATGTATCAGGTTTTTTTAAGACATTTTTATTTTCGACAATAATCAGTGATAAGAAACTTCCGTTTTACTTGTCAAAGCTATTAAAACATTTTAAGACGAAGAAACAAAAGGCAAACCTCGGCAAGCCAATGTTTATATTCCCATCAGCTAATACAAAAGTATAATATTCTGTAAGCGACTAAATTTCGATTCTTAAGCGTACATGTATAAAAACAATTAAGCTAGGTCGATTTTTCCCTGAATTTTACGATCGTACCTATGTCAGGTAAATGACATTGTTGTCCGATCATTATAAAATAATAATTGTTGTTCTGAAATAAGATTCCAATTCTAAATCTTGAAGTATATTAAATAAATTGAAACACAGTAAAGTGATAATTTTTTCATTTATCATTCCGATTGGGAGCTATATGTTATTGTCGTCCGATCTGAATAAAATTAAAACCGTAAATCTGAAGTTCAGACTAACGGACAGATAGACATACGGACTATCCTATCCTATCCATTTGTATACCCCTACTGAGGGTATAACAATTTCAGCCAGAATTTTGTAACGCAGTGAAGGAGACATTTCCACAGTACTACTTTCCCAAAAGTTGTCTTTCTGTTGCACTCAGAACGAACTGTATCGGACGACTATATCATATATAATACCATAGGAACAATCGGGCAAAAACCAAAATATACTATAACTTTGGGCTTTCTAATTTTTGTTTAGTTCTGCAAGAAATAGTATTGGTTTATTATTTGAGAATTTGATAAAAATCGACCAAACTATATCATCATATAAAAAAATATTGTGATTAAAAAAAAATAAATGACTGAGCTTCGTTTGCTTTTAAACATATACGGATATATTAATGTGTATATATAATAAGTTCATTAAATTATAATACCCGTTGCAAGGGTATAATGATATTTTCCAGTTTCTTTATTTTGTTTAGTTCATCAATATACATATATTAATAGTTTATTGTTTTAGAATAGTGAGTTTAGTTTATTGTTTAGAAAAGCGATCTAATAATTGAGGTGAAAGTCTTCATAGCTTTCATGTTTTTATGCAGATACGGATATAATTCGAAATTTAGATGCGGTATAGCCGCTTTTCGAACGAAGGAAAAGTTATTGAGAAATTTGAGAGTAACTCATTGTTTTTAAAAATGGATACATATATGAACACTTAATATTTGGATTTTCGTTTAATTTAATATTCCGTTTTTGTGTTAGCAGTAAGGATAAAAACATGATTATGATGAAAATGAAAATGAATGTATGTTGCTTATACGTGTAGTACTCGAGATAGCATAGAAATATTTCGATAAGTCGTTGAAAGTTATTAGGCATCTTAAACACTATCTATATTTCGTTAGGAATGAATTGGAATGGGTCGAAAACTTCTAAGACTAATCTGGAAAGAAAGAAATCTTATTGCAACCCGTATACCCATTTAAGTAGTGGCGAAGCGCATCAGGACTGGACTATATATGCACTCAACATAAAAATGTATGTGGATTTTAAAGCTGATGAATTCTTCAAGGTAATCACAAAGTTTATTTTTTAAAGGATCGGTTCAGTAGATTTTGAGTTCTGATGTTTACGAACTTCAAAAAAGACGTGAACAACCTGGGTAGCACGTCTGGTCGTTTGAAATGCTGTAACTCCGTTAGTTTTACTCGGATTGACTTGAATACAGTACAGAATATTCTCAACTTATTGTTGATTCAGAAAAACAACGAAAAAAAAGTTTAAAACCCTTAAACTAAGAAAGACATTTGGTTAGAAATAGCAGTGAAAAGGACAATTTCAAGAACTATAATTTTTGTTCCGTTCAAAAGTAACCTAACAAATAAGATTTTCATAATGTTTGTCGGTCTGTTTAATCCAGATGTCTTTTTTAACATATTAAACAGGTGGACATGTAAAAACTATTTTTCTACCACTTTAGGATAAGAACAATTGATAAAACAGTTACCAAACTACAAGTTAGTTTTGAGAATTTTTAGAGAATTAAATATTTATACACCTTCGCAGCAATTCAAAATTTTAATATTCTTTATAAAAACTATGTTCCGATTTTGATACCCTTGCATAGGTTATTATAATTTCAGTCAGAAGTTTGTAACGTAGTGAATATATATATATTAGTCAATCAGTTTTAAATCTATCTGCATGAAACTTTCCCAAAAGTTGTCTTCCTTTTGCAGGTAGTATATAAGTATATCGAGCCGGATCGGACGACTATAACAAAAAGCTCTCATAGAAACAAATATATATCATATATATAAAATATAAATTAACCATGAAAACAATCAGAATTATAAAAAGAAGAAAAAAATGTAACTGAATGGAAAGGTTTAATAATTCAGAATTATGTTTTTCATTTTATTAAATTCAGAAAACGGTATCATAAAGCTGCCATAGTAACGATCGACTAATCGAATGCTTCAATGGTATTTAAAGGGTTCTCGTATAATTCGAAATTTACATGTTTAATTTTTCCAACAGCTGCAAGGATATATAAACTTCGGTTTGCCGAGGCTTACTTCCTTTCTTGTTTTTTTTGGTTATAACTAAAAATCGGTGCTAATGGTAGACACAACTCTGGCGAGGTTATCTAGATAAGTCATTATGTTCATTATGCAGACGAGTTCTCTGAGTTTCAAGCTTACTGGATAAAACTTTCCGAAAAGTGAAAGTGACTAAATTTTAAAACCATCTGCATGGTGTTTCGATGTTTATTGAAATCTTTCATTTATTTTTGATTGCTTCAAAGCTATACGTTATAGAAGACCGATTTTAACGAAATTAAAAACGTAATTCTGAAACATCTAATAGACGGATGGACATGGCTAGATTTGGTCTCCTAGTGATGCTGCTCAAGAATATATATACCTTATAGGGTCGTAAACGATGCAAACTTCCAACTGAAATTGTACGACCCACTGCAAGCGTATAAAGCTGAAACTGTTTTTAAAATGGGAAATAATAGCCAAAAGTTGCCTTATCTAAGCAGGTAAAAATCTCTTTTAATGACTAATAATCTCAAATTGACTGTTGACCGAAGCTAATTAATGGTAAAAACACTGTTGAAAAAAGGGAAAATATACTACAGACATTTTCAAAGGTATTTCACTTATAAATTCACTTCCCTCTCACACGTTTAGAGAGTCGTCGTAATCGTATACATAAAGTCTTATTTCGCAGGAGCAGTTACGACAAGAAAATACATATTTACGCAGAAGTCTAAAACGCCAAATTCGCGTCTGCGTTTACACTTTTAACTAGAAATGAATAAAGCACGCA